TACCATTGAAATATCAAAGAATCAATCTATATCCGTACAAATCCACTAATCTAATAAAAAATCTAGTCAAATCCAATTAATCGCATTTTATATCGTCTACTTGTCTACTTACTACATAAGATGTGACTACGTTTCATCGTTAAGGCATAATAACGCTTTCTCCATTGAAACACAGAATGCATAAAACGCGCTCTATGTTATTCAGTTAATAACGTAATTGTATAATAATAAATTAAAATACGAGACGCAGCGCGATCGCTCGGTAATACGCGCGATTGCGATCTAAGAATTCATGCAGGCATGTCCGTCGGCTGCAAGCGCTCGAATTGAACGAAGGACGATCGAAAGGAGAGCGGCCGCAGCTTCGTTGCCTAAGCCTTCGTTATACACTCCGATCGAAACGGGCACTTCCTCGCCGTGTCCCGGTCGTGAAAGTATCGCGCTCTCGCACGGGGAAGTGCACGCCAAACTGACCATGTAAGAGTTTTCGAATTACGCCAATCGATACCGCGCATGTGTTTGATAACTCGACGTCGGAGTGTGAAACACCCGTCGCGCGAATCGGCTCAATCGGCACCGAAAAGGGGAAGGATTCGCATGAATGATCGCGTTAACACGCGAACCGCGAAAACACGCTCTCCACGAGATATTTCCCCGTGCGATTAGAATTCACCGCGGGCCCCGCGAACGGACGCGAAAAATCAGATCTCCCCCCCTTTCCCCTACCCCGTGTCTTCACGGTATGCTCACGACGCGTGGAATTGCGCGAGACATTTTGAGAAGTTACCCGAGTTACATAAGTTACGCATAACAATCTCGTAACGCTCTCATAGCATTGTCTCCCTATTCATTATCTCATCAGCGCGGAAAATTAAACTCATTTCAAAATGTCTTGTTCGCGCGTTCGCGACGTGAAGTAATGGCACTCAGTGCTTCTCGATAATTTTAAAGAATTTCCCAGAGATCGCGTACTACTGTCGTCACTTACGTTCCAGATTTATCTCGAAAAATGCATACATGCATGGCAAGAAATCGCTGATAGATGGAATTAAAATATTGATAATATTACAACAATTGGAAATATAATACACAGAGATAAATTGATGTTAACATTTGATCCCTTCTCTTCTTTTTTAGTTATAAAAAGCGAAAAATTCGTAAAAAAAATCTTGCAAAATACTCTCGCCTCTCCTTTTTATGAGAGAGAAAATATTTTCGCACGGATTAAGAATTTCATTAAGAATTCAGGAATAAGTCAAGTGGAAATGTAACAAAGCATATATTGCGCGAACGAATTTGCGGTCGCGCTCCGTTTGTCCGTTGAAAGTAAAGTTGAACAAGGATCTTTGCCCGCGCGCGAGTCATTAATCCCATTCCCGAGTAATGCGAACTGATTATCTATTACGGCGATTTCATTATTCGCGCAGTACATATATATCGCTGCCCGTGGTAGCGATAACGTCTGGCGTTAAGCATAAAATATGGCCCACTTCGAGTCGCGGAGGCTCCGAGTGTCCCGGTGGAATCTCTCCCGCATAAGGCACGAGCTGATCCCCCTTCCCCACCTCCCGAAGCTTGTCGTCGCAAAAAATGCATGTCGTCGCAAACAGCCCCTTGCACGACATTAAAAAAAAAAGAAGAAAAAATGGAGGAAAAGAAAACGATCTCTTTTCGCGAAACGACCGTTAATTAAAGCACGCACGATCGAATCGACGCGAAATGAATTCTCGGCGCGGACAGCTGATTAAAAAGGAGCAACGCGAACGCGCGGTTCAATCTACTCGCTTGTTACTCCTATACGCGAACGCGCGGTTGCTCTTATTTTAATATTTACGCACGAATTTCGCGGCCGTCCGTCGTCCGGATAGCGATCGGCCGATGCGCGTCGCCGATTAACCGCGACAGTATAGCAATCATCGTGCGGCCCGCAGTTGCAATTAGCATTTTACGGAGGTGGATTTTTCTTCGACCGCGCCGCGCGGCTGCCTCGCACGTCGCGACCTTAAAAGCCCACGTTAAAGTAACAAAGTACTAAAGGACGGTAATTCGCATTGCGCATCTTTGGCGCGGACAATGGGAAAAGAGATTGCGATTTTTCACGCAAGACGGAATACCTATCCTCCTTACTATTTTATCACGCGGACATTATCTCAGCCAATTATTTCATTCACGTTCGTGGAACTACTAGTCTATCATTTATGTATATGTGCTTGCATATTCTATGTCAGCTTTATCTCATCGTTTATTGACGTTGTATTTTATCCCTCGTTCATTTCGTTGCACCGGCCAATCTCTCCGATGGACACAGAATTACTGATCCAATTTATCCTTTAATCAGATTTGCCCCTCGATGGGAGCCACATCTCACAATCATCACTTTACTACTCGTCGTTGCGTTTTCTTCTTTACGCCTCATACTTACGTTTCGCTCTAAGCGATGCCTCGGGGTCGTGCGCGATCGATTCGCGGCGATGCATCAACGAGGCCGAGAGGCAAGAGAGAGAGAAAGAGATGAGCTTAAACACCTTGTAAGATCAACCCGCGCGGCCGTGGTAGCGCCGGGGAACCCCGCCTTAATTTATACTCACCCCGTGCGCGCCGATCTATTAATCTCGGACCGATTGTGAAGCGTGGTGAATGCGATCGGCCGGCCGACCGACCGTAATTATAATTATCCCGGCTATTTGCAGCCGCATAACTCACGACGACGCAGCGGTAAAAACGCGACGCCCGCGATCGTACCGCGGACGAAGACGATCGTAGATCATTTCGGTGGTCGTTACGGGACGCGCGATCGCCGTGATTAATGCGTGCACGCGCGATAACACGAGCATAAGTTTGTAACCCGTTTTTCAATTTTATTGCGGATTACATAGTGGCTGAGGAAGAGAGAGAGAGAGAGAAAGAGAGAGAGAGAGAGAGAGAGGAGGGAGAAAGTGGGCGAGTATAGTAGAGAAATCGCATTATAATTCTTCGTGTGAGTTTTATAAAATTAGAGGAAACAGAAATTTCCGTCTGAAGCACGAGATTCTTCATCGCACGCGAAAATGCAATCAGCGCGAAAAAAAATTGTTCCCGTTCTCCAACTTTTGCTCCAGGTTTTGCAAGTCGGTTCGTACCGCTTGGAGATCGACGGTTACCGAGCTGATGGTCGAGAGATCGACGATTTCAACATCCGTTCAATTAACGCTCTGTGTCATGCGCGCGGATTTCCAGAGAGCGCGAATACGCGCGGGTGTAGATTAATTGCCGAAATCGCGCGGCGACAATCGCTTCCTAGCAAGATAAACGCCCCGCGGGATTAAACGCACGCGCGCAAAAACGAATCGCGAGCGGCTCGTGACCCCGACTTAATTTATATTCGCCCGAGGATTTTTTTTTTACTCCGAGGTCTCCTCGTCGATCCGATCGCGTCGTTCACGCCTACGGAACTATTCTAGTTACGACACGCTGAAACACAATACGAACACAGTAATACCACCGCATGGACAACAAAGGGACTTCGGGATTGAATTGCGTACCCGGAGGCTGTGTTCGTGTATTATTTCAGTGCTCGGCAACAGATAGAAGAGACAGAGAAAGAGAAGAGAGGAGGGACTTCGTCTTAATCGTTGAGGTCTATAACCGATCCGAAATTATGTAATGATTGCGAAAAATAATTGCCGCAATAGAGGGTAACTAAAACGAATCTTCGCGTCAAAGAATTTTCTTTGGATTTTTTTAAAGGAGAGAAGCACGAATCAAAAGCATTTATATTTGAAAAGAATATAATTGTAACGTTAACAAAAAGCGCGTAATTTCGACTTGCTTTTTAAAATAATAATTATATCATTCATTTATCATGTAAAATATTAACAAATACAGAACAGATTTTTTGTTAAGATTTGATCAGAAAAGGTATCGTTGTCCATATTTTAAATTATTTTTAAATGCAAACTATAAAATATATTGCGTGATTTATTTCATTTTTCTCTCTTTCTCTCTCTCTCTTTCTTCCTCCTGACATATTGATGTGTATCTCGTGCCTTTATTATAGCGCGCGACGTAATATCGCGGCGCGCTCGTTACGTTACTCCTCGCTGCTCTCTATCCTCCATTTAGGCGTATCCACAACACAAGTTGCCTCCTTCGACACATGCACCGAAGTAATATCTATCTTGGAGATTTTTATCCGCTGGTATACTGCGCAAACCGCTAATAAATTATGCCCGCGCGACTCGTTTAAATGCACAGTGCCGCGGCGAAATGCGCGATACTTCGCCTTTCACCTTGCTACGATAATGCATTCTGTCGTGCATTGTGGCTCCGGTCGGGATAACTGCCATCGTATTATCGTATACCTCGTACCTCGAGCAGCAACAATTACGCGGAAACCGTCGAAAATCGGTCGCCCAGGACCGTCGCGGTTTCCCGCGATTAATGAAAGAGCGAGTAAAAGTCGCGGCGCTACGTCGTCGTCCCGATTTTTTTTTTTTTTTTACGAGTGCGTCGTTAAGAAAAATTGCGCCCGCAATATCGCGCAAAATCGCAAGAATAGAATTAACAAACACAGTAAGATTTATCTTCCATAAATTTTTCTCACAGTCGCGCAGTCTTTCAAAAGCAACGTTGTCTGAAAAAAAACTGTCCTCAATATATACAAATATGTGTAATGTTGTAAACCTGAGAGAGAAAAAGAAATCAAGATAAAGAAATTAAGGTCGTTCTGTAGATCGGATGTTTTTACGGAGAAAATAAGTTTCTAAATAATATTAGAAAGCGTCTTCGCTTTTTCCAAGATTTTCAGCAGTATATAACTCGGCTTTGTAAGACAATTCCTTACGTGCGCGCATAAATCATCATCAAAAGCATACATACTCGGTACCAAATACTGTGAAAGATATTTTTCCTGCGACGGGAAGAGGATTGTGCACAAACGAGAAATCGAGAACACCTTCGAAATTATACTCCTATTCACAATGTGATTCCGCGCATAAGTTATGTCTACCGTTGACTTGCAGAAACGGCTCGGTCCTGGGACAAGCTCTCGCAGCTGATACCAACGAATTCGGTGTACGAGAAGCAAGACCGAAATGCATCGCCGTCCGGCAACGAGGCCGATGCATCGCTGGCGCATTCGCTGACGGAGAACAATGTGATGGACACATCGAAATCGAAGGGGGGAGGCGATCACGAGGAGGCGATGGCGGCGGAGAAGGAGGAGAAGGAGGAGGAGAAGGAACCTAAGCTGACGTACGACGAGGAATACGAAGATGAAGATAAGCACGAAGAGGAAGAGCTCGAGGAGGAGGTAGTGGAAGAGGTGGAGGAGGAGGAGAAGAAAGATCCCCCTGATACCGAGAATGGCGCAATGAAGAAAGAGAGATCTCCGCCGGAAACCGGCAGCAAGGCGAATATTGAGGCGGGGGACATTTCCAGGGATGGGGATTACCTCGAAGACCTCCCGACGAATCAGGACGACAATACGTATTATTATTACGATGAGTACGAAAACGGAAATCGTTCCCGATACGATGCCGCAGGTGAGTTTTGGTCGTTTCTACTAAACTGTGATTTAAACACATTTATTTCTTTTCTCGGATGCACGATTAATAATCACGAAATAATCTTCGCATCACAACCCTCGACAAATATCATTAATTTAGTATTTTGTAAAAAATATCAAATCTTTTTTTATTAGCGTGTATCAATTGGATTCTACAATCGCATAGTGTGCTGTTCTTAAAAATGAGAAAAATATGACTAATTGTATTCCCGTTCCTTTCAATTCAAATACCTATTTGATAAAAAAATAAAAAAAAAAACATTTTAGATGGCGAAAACCTCGACTACTTGGACACGGAATCTGAAGAGGAGGACGTCACACCGGGAAACTCGTCAGGGGAATCGGATCATGGCGTTCTGGAGAAGAGAGATAAAGAAGTCTCGCACGAGTCGACTGTGTCCAATTCGTCGCGAATCGTCGAGGAGGAAGTCGGCAATCCGATATCGTCGACGGAGCTGGAGAAAGGCTCGTCCATGGAGGGCAGCGACAAAACGTTCACTGCGCTCGACGCATCCGGAGAGACGGAGGAGCCTGAGAATGTCTCCGCCGAGGTCAGTTCCATTCTGATAGGCGGTGCCGTGGTCTCCGTGGTGACCACGAAGAGCGTGGTGAACGGCACGATATCAGTGCCGACGACGGTCTCGCCGGCCACTACGGAGCAAGTCGCGCCGCCGCCGCCGTCGTCGTCGCCCTCGTTGATCGAGACCGACGACACAACCGAGGGACAGCCGGAAGTGACCACGGAGGACTCCGCGAGAATCCTGGCCTCCGTGCAAACCAGCCGCAGCGTATCGGGCGCGCGCTTCCTGCCGTTCCCGGTGATAGATCGCGTGGAGCAGGTGGAGGCGCACGGCGGGTCGCTCGAGAGCAAGAAGACGTCGCAACCATCGTCCACCGAGAGCATCATCGACAAGCTCGACTGGGCGCAGTCCAAGCTGTCCAGTGATCTCCTGCCGGCGGCCATCCTCAGTACCGGTGGCTTCCGAAACGCCGGCAACACGCTGCAACTGGACGTGCTGGCCGAGCGTGATCGCACTACGACTACGACTGCGACTACGACGACGTCGACGACGACTCGCAGGAGCTTCACCACCACGGCCAAGGCACCGGTCATCAGCAAATTCATACCACGACGTTACAATGACAAAAGACAGGAGCACACCAGCACTACCGCGGCGAAGCCGCGATTTGAGACCGTAGTCGACACCCTGGAAGGTTTGCTGCCTCGAAATTACGTGTCGAGAGGAACCACTCCAAGTGCGGTTTCCAAGACAAATTTCAGGTTGGACATGTCGCATAAATTTTTGGAAGACTTATAAAATTTATATTTACAAAGAATTATTATACATATCACATCTTAGATAAATAATAATAATTGGCGACTCGAAAATAACTTTTGACATATTAATTTTTAAATTATCGACAAAAACGATCAAGTACACTTATCGATAATTAAGTGATTGTATTGATAAATCAAAATTTGACAATTAATAGCTAAGCATTGATGATGGTTATTACGATTTTTCTTCCAGGCCTTTTTCAAAGCCAACGACGACCACGGAAGCAGCGGAGACAAAGACGTCACACACATCGACGACACCACGAACGAAATCTAAAGCCAGTATTGCTGTCCAAGATATTAGCGCATTCCTGCCGCAAGGATATAAGCTAAAGAAAGAAGATGCAGCTGTCACGGAGAGTTCCCTCCTCAGCGAAATTCTCGCCAAATCTAAGGTCGATATTTCGTCTCTCTTACCACCTGGCTATGACAAGAAGAAGATCGAGGAAGAATCCAAATCAAAAGATACAACAACGACAACGACTATAACGACGACGACGACAGCGAAAAGTACAGGCCTGTCTCCGGAAAAGATCACCTCGTCTATCCAGGATCTTTTCACGTCCTCCAAAATCGATATCTCCGCCTTGTTACCCAAGGATTACGAACAAAAGAAGAAGGACCTCGCTCCGGAGAGTAAAGCTACTGGTGACGCGAACAGCGAACAGAATACGACGGTCACGGAACGAATCGATTCCGAGTCGCCTACCACGAAGAAAGCCGGCGGCTTGAAGATCGTGTTTCCCAGCAGACCAGGCGGTCGCAAGCCGATCCACAAAATAACCACTCCGCAGACTCCACGTGGAGATGGTTCAGGGACGGTAACGCCAAAAATACAAAAAGGATGGCCGACTCGGTAAGCTAGTCTTACATCTTAATTATTATTATTAAAAGAATAGATTTTCTTTAACGATCTCTTCAGATATTAAATTTGGAATGTCTTTTGTTTATCATTATAAATTTTGACTTTCTGGACTTACGAAGAAGTCTCACGAAGTAGTGATAATTATATTACCATATTTAATGACAATCGTGCCGACAAATTTCAGAGCTACTACGGAGTTCACCGGATGGCCAACTCCGTCCACTACGCCGATCTCCATCGAGAAGCTGCTAGAAGCAGCGCGCACGGCTACGGTAGCGTCGGTGAACATATCGCTTATTCCCAGCACGAACGAGATCTCGAGCACGTCGTCGACGTCGACGACGACGACGACACCAAGGCCGACGACTCCCGGCGTGTGCGACGACGAGTGCGAGGTCGCCGGCACGATACGTATCATCGGGAACGCGACGTGGGTACCGGAACTGTTCGATCGGAACACCCGCGAGTGGCAGGAGCTCGCGAATCACGTGGAACGAGAGGTACATCCCTAAGTTTCCTAGTGTTCTTTGCAAAATGCCATTTGTGTTTAAATCACATTTTTTTCCAGATAAACTTGATATTCTCGAAATCCAGCGTTTTAAAGAAATGGTACAAAAAAATAAGGATCGACTCCTTCAGGTATTTCCAACTTTATAATTTGGAGCAATTATGTCGAAATAACATATTAGACATCATTATATCATATTTTGAATTAATCGATCTCATATTGAAACTCAACAAAGATAATGATGGTTATTTTCAGTCAGGGCAGCATCCTAGTGGACTACTTTATCGAGCTAGCCAATGTACAACAGAAAGTAAACACACAGGAGTTAAAAGTGATTTTCCACGACTCGCTCAAGACGTACAACGCTAGTCGGAATGAAACGAGCACGAAAGTTCCACTGAAGATGGGGATTTTTACTATCGATCCCAAGTACACCGATTTCGTAGGTACGTCATCAAGAGTCTTTTCGTTTCTCTCATTATTCTACATGTTCATTATACGTGTATTATCTTTTTCTAGTTATACCTAAACTGAATATGCCGCAGTACATCGAGAAGGATGATAGATTGATACCTCAGTGGGCAATCGCAGTGATAGTGATAGGTGTCGGAGGTTTGCTGTTTATTATCGTGTTTGGCGTGTCTGTGGTGAGTGTCAAAACCGTCCGAAGTCTTCGCGCGGTCGCATAAACAGCGAAAGTAAAAGATAATAAATGAATTCATTTTCCAGCTCGTGAACAGGCAAAGCGGATCGAAGCTGAAGCCGACCATGTCCGCCATTTACGACGAAGAGGTGGCTAAGCACACGTCGAGTCACAGATCGAGCGACTACTCGAAACCGGTGCACACGATATGGACCGACCCCGACGTCTCTTGGAACGACAAGTCTTTCGAGTCGAATTCTAACAAGGTAAACGAGCGCGCGGGACAATGTCGCAAGATCGCCGATTGCATGTCATGATTTACTTATCCTGAACATCTATTTCTTTTCAGATTCTGGTCGATAAGTCCTTCCAGGACAAGAAATACAATATGTACGACAGTTGGCGATCCGAGTGGAACGGTTATTATTACAATCCCTCGCATACGAGCAGCAAGTACGGTTACGACAGTACTACGAACCTGTCGAGCCGCCACCATCCCGATTACGACACGAATTTCTAAACGGCAATAAACTTCAATTTCCTCTATCAATATACCGAGATTTCACTTAATTTATTCGGCGACTTAGGTAAGCAACTTCGAGAGATCGGAATATTTACTCTATTTTTTTTTTTTTTTTTTCGACAATGCGCGCGTTTCTTTCGATACGAGATCACCAATATCCACGTGGAACATTTTAAATGCATGAATTTGTTACTATTTTATATTCTCTCGCGCATCTAGTAATACCTATGTTCATTATTTCGCGACATCGAATTTATTCATTTATTCTTTATCTGTTTGCCTTACTAAGGGATTTATTTATTCTAGTCAGAATAATAAGTAATCACATTTTGGTAATCGGTCGTTCTCCACCAGGACCGATAGCCATTGACGCCAATGTATGTTGCCGCGACGTGTTTTGAAAACCGCAAGTGTGTAAAGTAGACTTAAGCGAAGAGAAAATGGCGATTATACCGACAGCGAAATATTTTCTCATTTATAAACGAAATGAGCCACTGAATAGAGACCAAATCACGATGTATGTTATCACGATTCTTTTTTTATAATCATATACGTACATTCATTTGGCGCCACATAAAAAAATATATAAAATTCGTATATATATTATCTTTCTTGTATACAAACTTAAAATAACTTACTCAACAAGGACAGTAGTCTCATAATCGACGAAACAGTCGTTTCTTCCGGAGTGTCAACGTGGCATCTGAGCACATTCAGAAGTTTTTGATATAAAAACGATTGCCTGTAAAAAAAAAATGGAATAGCATGATTTTACTCAACATCCTCCTTTCCGTGTTTTTAATTACGTAAGAAGACGTAATCGTACTCGACAGATAAACGGTTTTGAAAACATCATTGGTAATCAGACAAAAAATGAGTCTTGATACATATAATGAAGCTTGATGCGTCTTTCTTTCATTCAATGATGTTTTTAAACCGCACCGCAGATGTTCTAGATATTACCTGCTAGCTGGCTTGCATATCGATAAGTGATCCTGCGGAATCTCGAAGAATTCGCCCACGCCAGGATCTGGAAAGACGAGTCAGTATACTGTTTTATATGCATGTGTGTTTGTGTACGGTGTGTGTTGTTGTCGATAAGAATCTAGATAAGTTAGATTTATCTACAAATGCATACCATCGAGGTAAGCTGATGTATAATCATATGAAAATCGAAACATCAACAATGTATGTCTAATTTGTCTTAGGCTTGATTGCACCAACGTTATTTTGACTTTAAGTGAGACTTAAAACTTTGTTTTTTTTTAAACCTTGAATGAGAGTGTTTCAAGATTCGCTTAAAGTCAAAATAACGTTACTGCAATCGGGCTTTATAGCATTACCTGCTGAATTGAGGCTGACAAATTGGAAAGGAAACTTCAACGCGGTTACAAGCGTAGGTTTGGCCTCGGCGAAACTCACAATCTCTATGCGGTATTTATTCAACATTTCTAAGAACTCTTCGTGCAATCTTAGTAACTGCGGCGATCCTGAAATGCGATTAGATCGGCAAATTACTTAGTAAATTATTTAATCGGTATTAATTAGAACTAAGAAACAGATTGACGGGATTACCTTCACGTAGTTCTTGAACTTCGACCGTTGGCCACAGCAGCATTTGCGTTGCTTGCTTCAGAGCCGCCACATGTGAGCCTCGATGAGGAGTACCGTAAAATAAGATAGCTTTGGTATTCTTGCAAATGCCATGCTTATCTCCAGTTTTCCACTCTACAAACGTAATTATAACATGTAACGACTTTAATAATAGCAATAGCAATAATTTTATCGGTACAGTTATCGAAGTATATAAAAATTAGTGTAAATTTTCAGCTTATACGTACCTTCTACAAGCATCTTTTTAATTAACAATCCACCCATTGAATGAGCGACCCATATAAGTGGCCGTTGGCCCACGTTCGCCATTGTCAATTTGGTAACGAATTCTTCGCTTCTCTCTTTAATAGTGCTCCTAATAAAAATAAATGTGATGCATCAAACACTATCGGAATATTTAATACCTAAATTTATTAGACACGAGAGGTTCAAGACATTCCCATGCAGTGATAAAGTGCAGTACTCACTTCATGCTTTCTATCGGACAGAAAGGAGTCCACAGAGATAAACTCGTACCATAGTTAACACCTATGACTCGCAAGGATGGTATGTCTGCAGGTAACCAGTCTTTGGGCCAGCAAAGTGTTTTTGATGTATTAAAGTCGCAATCATTTCTCATACAGGCGTCATCTCTAGAAATATCGCGTGCGCAAAAATTCACAGATAATTAAAAATATGATATTTGTAATTTATAAACGAGTCATCAGCATGACGACTTTGAAATTGATAAATGTGTAAAAATTTACCCTCTGCAGAAATAAGGTCCGCACGCGCAATCGTTTGTGTTTTGTGGACAATCATCCAGTACCACCTCAAAATCCTGGCCTATTTTTCTCCATTCGCGTAAATGCAGATCGCGAGCCAAGTCTTTAAAGAATTCCTGAGGACGATCGTCATCGACCATAGTAGATAAGTAATCCGTAGTCTCGACCAATGTATTCTCCTCTGCAATTAAACAGATAATTTGACAATAAGACAAAGAGATAATCTCTATTGTGAGAAAATGTCATAGTCTCCCTTAAAAAACTACATTTAAAAGATGTAAAAAAAATTATAAGGAAATAAAACCGCTATGATAACTAAATATCATGCTACGTAAAAATGCACTATATATGTTTGTAGATTCAGGACTCAAATCTGACAATATATAATCATATTGCTAAGTCACAAGTATGGACTTTGTCCATACTTGTGACTTAGCAATATGATAGCGCTTCACGCATTCGGATGAATTCTGCAACGTTTTATAATATGCTTGACATTTATGTATTATTCTTGTATAGCCTCTAGGACTATAGTAGAAATAACGATACAACAAAATAAAATTCGAAAAATTATATAATCGTAGACAAATATTAACAAACCTACAACTCCAAGTGCAGAGGTATCGATGTCACGTTGTCTCCAGGTAACGAAAACTCCGCCTAGCAATCCATGCAGGAACACAACGTCCATTTTTGTTGCCGCATGAACTCGGTGCAGAGGATAAAGGAGATAGACGCTCTGCGGATATTTCGCCTTGTCATTTCCGTCTGTATCTAGATTCACCAACGCACTGATCGCCTGGGCCGATAGGCGAATGTCGTCGCTGCGGGACCAACGTGACAGTATGCCGATCCATCCTTCATGGAAGCAGTTATGTCGTCAGTAATGCAATCACATATTGCAGACAGATGAAATCTGTCTTACCGGATTCGTAGATAGTCTCCAAATATTCCGAATGAAGAGATATGTTGGATAATATTCTTGCGAGCAATATGCACATTTCTACGTCGTCACTGCAAATTTTCTGTATCGCTGTTAATATCGGCAAAGCTCCGGCATTGATCAGGTCTGAAATCCAAAAATTAAGCAAAAGATATAGGGTGTATGTATATACATGTACAACAATCTGCAGACTTGCACAAAACATTTTCACATCTTACGTTTGCTGTATTGTTCCACGGAAGAATGATGGCATATTGCACGAATGCAACTTTTAAGCAATTCATCATCCCGAACTGTTGTGGTTTCTGCAGAAAGGCCCACGCTCGTCAAATCGTGATCAAACCATTCTACAAGATACTGTACATCAAATTAAAATAATTAGAGACAATTAAATAAATTAAATTACAATTACAACACTAACATTGAATATGTTACTTTATTGTAACATTTATAATCAATCATAATATAAAAATAATAATTTAAAGATATTTCAATTTTTTAACTTCAAAGATAACGCTTCAATTTATACTTTTTAAATATATTTTTTTACAATTTTGTCTTTTTTCATTACTTTAATTAATATTTATATATTCAAGTACTTACTCGATGTGAGTCTTTAAACATTTTATTGAGGAACTGTGTGAGGCAGAGATGCGTATTGCCACACAAAGCATTAAGACTTAACAGCAGCGAATGTACCTTTTCTAATATATCCTGCAAAACAAAGAAAACTTTATTTAACATCAATATATATGTATATACATCTCTTATTCTACAAATACAAATTAAATTGAGCGTCACATACGTTTAAATTGTATTGTACATGATAATACGGTGGTTGTAGGAAAAATAGTGAATTAACATTGGGCATTCTTGCGAGAGCTACTGCTGTTTTAGCATCCATCATCTGCGCCAAATGACGATACTGCCAATCTGAAAAAGATTCACATTCCGTAGAAAGACTGCATGAATCTAATATATTTATACTGACTCTAATATACTCAAGGTTCCAGCATATTATTGTATATATTAAAAAAGGAAAATTATAACCAATGTCAGAGAAACTAAAAGAATCACTACCTTTCAGATGTGACAGAGAGCCAAGTGCAGTCACGGCTTTGGACTGCTCGTTCTTGTTCCCATGCTGCGCCATGTACAGCAACTTATACGCAATCTTGTGATTCTTCACCTTCCACCATCTGGCCAGAGTATCCATGAGGCTTCCCGGCTTCTCCGACGTGGATCCATGTAGATCCTCGTCCCTTCCAAACATGAAGATATCTGAAAATCAGAGAACAAATCCAAGCTTCGTACACGCTCGCTGCAATCGCCAGAGATTTATACATAACATCGAGCATGCGTATGCTTGACAGCGGAGGAAATTACCTTTAAATCGAGGGTCATCGATGTAGATGTACTGCGCGCGGGCCTGCTCTAAATTTAGAACGTTCGTGTTAACGGCCGACCGAAAGATCTGCGATATCTGTCGCAGTTGATATAGAAACCAGCAGCTCCTGCGCGAGATATAACAATAAATCCGAAGCCAAATCGTCGAGATATCCGATCGCACGGCCTTGATTTCGAGTCAGGCGGAGAGTCACCTTGGCAGTGTGTCACTTACCCGAGCACGACGACGCAGGTGCCGCTCGTCCTCAGGTAGTACACGTAGCTTCTCGACGCCCGTGCTCGCATCGCGTTGACAGGCCACGCCGGAGACGAAACGGAATCGAAATTCCGTCGCGGCACAGCGGGGTCCTACATTTCAAACTTGTTCAAACTTTGAAACGCGTCACGTCGAACCACTGGCACGCGCGAAAAACGCGATTGGAACCGCGTTCCGAAAGCGTGCACGGCCGAGCCTGAAACGGAAATAATTGGTAGAGCTGAAAGCGGGCGCCAATCACGGGCGAGCAGCGCGAGCGCTGCGTCTTCGGACACGCACGTCATTCTTCGGCTCTTGACATTTTGTCCAATAAATTATTTATTTTCAATTGCAATCGCATTGCTTTTCCTTTCCTTTTTCCCTCAAATTGCGAATGGAAAATGTGCAGCTAAAATAACTTTTTTTTCTTTAATGTTGAGTTCTTCGCGGTTGTATTTTTCTCTAATATTTATTTATTATTAATTATATAACTATTTTATTTTGTGAACATTATGTGCATATACAAAGCTGCAAAATGAGAGAAATGACAAAAAATTGTAAGGATGCAAAGTTTTAAATTCGTACATTCTTTCCCTCTTTAATTTACCTAGGAAAAGATAATATAAACTTACATTTAAATTTTTCATTTCTCTAAATCACACAAATTATCTTTTTATAAAAATAAAAAAAAAATATATTTCCGATCAAAATTAATATTTTCCACTTAACGCGCAATAATCAAAGCATTATTATTCTTGAAGAAATGCAAAAATCATCCCGCGATAAATATTAAATAGATATAAAAAAAAGAAAAAAGTAACTTGATTCAATGAGGAAAAGTCAACTTTGTGCGCCCGATGTTGTCCATCTCTTCGCTTTTCCTGCTACACCCTGTAGAAGGTGGACCTTAATTAATCATCGCTGTCGTGGGCGAATGACAGAGGTCGGCCGTCGAGGGGGAAGCGGCGTATAGATTCTAGAACTGGAGCGGTAAGCGGTGACCGTCTCGCGGAGGCGTTCCAGCGTCGTTCACATCGACCTCGTTGAATGAGAGACGCACGCGTGCACGATGACCCGCCAGCAGCAGCAGCAGTGATCGCAGCCGGCGCCGCCCGCGCGCCGTCACGACATGGCGACCGTCAAGGTGACGGAGCAGAAGGTTATACTGTGCGGCGAGTACGGCGTCGGCAAGACGTCGATATTCCGGCGCTTCGCCAACAACACGTTCGTCGCCAGCAACGACCGCAAGTCGACCCTGGGTCTCGACAACATCGACAAGGACTACGTCGTCGAGGACAGACGGATACGCGTGAGTGTGCCGACGTTAATAATAAGGACGCGCGGCGTGGTATGTGGGTCGGTTGCGCCTTTTCGCGTAACGGGAGAGACGCTACGAGCGATTGCTTTTGGAAAATTCGCCGCCTTCACTTTCGCCTCCTCTTCCGTTTTCCCTCTATCGATCGTCAGGTTGCACGCGAGTTGCGCCATGGGATCGCGTTACCGTTTCGTGTTACCGGCTTATACTTCCCGCTGCGAATCGAGCTGGCGTGCATTGAACCTTCGAACTGAAATCAATAAGCATAGATAAATATTGGAGCGCCGGCTTTTTAAACGTCACGCGACAGCTGACGTAGCTTGTATACCGATTCATTAAGAGTGAGGATTTAATAAGTTCCGCATGAGTTGCTTCATTTAATTAACGCTCACACAGTGTATCAGTAAATTATTATTACACGCATTATTGTAGTTGAAAAATCTAAATAATGCTATCCGGAGTACTCACAAAAAAATAAACACGGCAGCATCCTTAAAACTTATAGAATCGACGTTTCTGACCTCGCGCTCCTTTTTTTACCCTCCTCAGCTGCAACTATGGGACACCGGCGGTATGGAGAGAGTGGCGTCCGTCACCTCGAGCTACTACAAGTTCGCGGAGGCTGCCATTCTGGTGTTCGCCCTGGATAACTCGACGTCGTTTCACTTGCTGTCCCAACACTTGCTCGACATAGTCACGTACGCGGAGAACGCGAAGATATTCCTTTGCGGGAACAAGAGTGACTTGGAGAGCGTCGCGCCGCAAGTCACCGATGCGGAGATGGAACAATTCTGGTACTCGCGTAATTTTAACAACAGTTTCCTAATGCACACCACTTATATATACATATGAATAACAAATTAAAAAAAAAAATTAAACCTTCCAGCGAACAATGTCACAATTTGATTTCGGGGATATACAAAACGTCATGCAAAACCGGCGAGGGCGTGAACGAGATGTTCGAGGATATAGCGCAACATCTGGTCGAGGCCAATCGCTCGCGAATGGAGCTACACGAGATGGACAAGGATCGATTTAAGATCTCGTACGTCGACGAGGCGACCGACCCGTCGTGCTTGTGCTAATCTGTGATTCGATATTCCGGACACGACCGTGCAGTCTCGGAGAATCACTGTAGTGAATCTCTTCGATGCGGATCGTAAGGGAAAACGTACGGAGAAACCGAGTCCTTTTTTATATCTTATCACGCGTGACTTTTCTATGAGGAAAGGTTGCGTTTTACGGAGAGAGAGAGAAAGGGAGAAAATCTACGAACGTAATATGTAATACGTACACAAGTTGCTTGCCCACGAACGGATCGGGTCTAGGATCACGCCGACGACAAAAATTCTCGATTGAAAATTTATTACACGCTGCGGAATTATCATCACTTAATCGACTAGGCTTGACCTATTAATGTGATTTACGATTATTATACAATTGATCAATATACATACTATGTATACTTAAGTTTCGTAAAGGCTACACGATAACGAGGCCACTAGTGCTGCGTCCATTTGATAGTCTTCAGGTCGATACCATCTTCCACCATCTCCCACAGCGGGCTGCAAAAAAGCAAGGATAATTAAAAATTTTGGTACACGCATTTTCGCGCAATGTCGTCGCGGCTAAATAGACGTACGCTAGAAATAGAAAAGCTAGAAGATAATCGCGATCTCACGAAACGTCCAACGATAAAATCGTTCCCTCCGCGAAACGAGATTAAAACCGTTTCAAATCGTTAAGGCCAAAGTTGTACGTAAGTCTTAAAGTAGATCCTCCGCCGCGAGATCCTCTAAACGTTTGTAACGATAATTGATGAATATCTTATACCTCATCTCCCGAAGTCGCTTCACTTGCTGTATCGTACTCTCCGCCGTGTAGTCGACTTCCTCGAGCGTTGTAAATCGTCCGATGCCGAATCTGGTTGGACAAGCCGCAAGTTACATAGAGAATGACGAAGCTATTATTACGGTTAATGAATCACGCGTTAAAGTTCCTTTTATACCTGATACTGGAATGTGCCAGATCCTCCGAGGCGCCGATCGCCCTCAGCACGTAGCTGGGCTCCAGGCTCGCGCTGGTGCAGGCCGAACCGCTGCTCAGCGCCACGTCCTTCAGGGCCATCAACAGCGACTCGCCCTCCACGCACGCGAACGACAGGTTCACGCAGCCGGGATACCAGGCCACCGGGTCGCCGTTACGCACGACTTGCGGCAAATTCGACATTATCTTTTCGATCAGGTGATTCGACAGCGTGTTGATGTATCTGTGATCGTACTGGAAAGAAATACAGTGAACAGATTTTTTCATACCTCAAACGCGTCAATCAATACACGCGGCGGAATACAACTTTTGTCTCACTCACGTCCATCTCCGTCTGCGCCAACTCGCAAGCGGCGCCCAGTCCTACGGCCAGGGGTGCCGGCACGGTACCGCTTCTCATCCCCCTCTCTTGTCCACCACCGCTTTGCAACGGCTCCACCCGCACCCGCGGCCTTCTTCTAACGTATAAGGCTCCAATACCTGAATGCATAATTAGCAGAATAAACAAACAAAAAAATTATAGATGTACCGAGCTTTTTTACAAACATAGAATAATTTTTATAACTTATTACAAGCGAAAATTGTATCAGACGAGAGAGATTATATAATTCTAATATATAACTTCTAAAAATGTGTTAATATTTTTTTATTATGTCTACTATTTAAAGCAGTATGCAAAAAAGAAATAGGCATAAGTAATAGTAAATTATCGTTTGTATAATTAAATTACCTTTTGGGCCATATAACTTGTGACCACTGATAGACATGAGATCAATATTCATAGCGTTAACATCGATCGGCACTTTACCGATGGCCTGCGCGGCATCCGTGTGGAAAAAGACCTTTTTCTTCCTGTATAATTAAAAGGCAAGATAAAATTAAGAGATAATCACAAAAGGATAATTACAATATTAAAATCTTTATGCTCACCTGCAAATGGCACCGATTTCTTCAATAGGCTGCTTGACTCCAATCTCGTTATTCACCATCATTACAGAAACCAGTGATGTGGATGGCCTAATGGCTGCTTCCAGTTCATTCAGGTCGATAAGACCATTTGATTTGACGGAAATGTACGTTACATCAAATCCCTCCGCTTCCAAGGCTCTACATGAATCCAATACGCACTTGTGCTCCTAGATACAAGCAGCCAATTGTAGATTCATATTGAAAAACGAAGCAGAACTTATATCGCAAAAATTTCTCACTGTCTGGGTCGTCACAACGTGATTTTTCTTGGATTTGTAGAACCTCGCTACTCCTTTCACGGCAATATTGTTGCATTCCGTCGCTCCGGACGTGAATATCACCTCCTTCTTGTCCGCTCCTATCAGATCTGCGACTTGCTGTTAAAAAAAAGCAGACAAGTTATCTTCTGGATGGTACAAATCACGGGATATTATAAAAACCTGTAAAATTTAAAATACCAACCTGGCGAGCGTGCTCGACCGCCGCCTCTGATTCCCAACCGTACATGTGAGTTCTGGAATGTGGGTTACCGTGGTACACCGTCAGATACGGCATCATCTTATCCAACACTCGGGGATCCTGGCAAATTAATATTTCGCACGTTATTCGCGCGCATAGGATTGCAGCGTATTGCATCACATCTCGCGCTTACCAGTGGAGTGGTGGCTTGGGCGTCCAGGTAAAGGGCTCTACCCTCCATCGGACCCTTTTTATACTCGTCCGTGATAGGAGCTATGTTGAATAAACATCAAGCGATTGAATTATTAAAGATCACAAGCTAAATCTCCTGTCACCTGACAGGTCAACAATACTCACATTCATATTCGGTGACCTCCGACAACTGTTGGCCGCATGTGTGCAGACGGCGATTCTTCGCGCGACGCAGCGCGAAGATCAAACCCTTCGCCGATCGAAACATCCTGATCGTCGCCCGTAATTGCAGCTCTCATAAAGATGTACCACGTATTCGAAGAACTCGCATGCTTCTAACTGCTTCTAACCTCAGCACCGTGTTATGTCGAAACAACAAAAACGAGTCAGCAACGGAGAACGTTTTTGCACGCTGATTGGCTGCCGGGAGAATAGGCTCTCGGAGCGCCCAGAAATTTCCTATTGGACAGCCAATCGAAAAATTCATGACATTTCGAGCTACCACGTGGTTGTGTCGATACTGTCAATGCGTGAGCATGACGAACACAGAATAGAGCGATAAAAAATTTTTTTTTTTATAAATTGGAATACATGATTCTGATACAGTCCTAGAATATAACAAATATAATGCTGCAATTCTCGTTTACAGTTATGTTGCGTTTGAGGAACGTACGTACACCATCAGCACTGTTGCATCATTTGTTCTTGTTTTACGTTTAATTAACGATAAAATGACATAATAGTGCTGATAGCGCGTTTCCCGAACGTAGACTTTTAAAAAAACAATTTTTCAACAGCCTCTTGGTATATATTCAATCTCAATGTTTAATAATGAAAGTCTCATTGCTCATAATTTTAGATCGAATTTAAAAATACAGAAAGTATAATTATATCAACTCTCTTATTATACTTGCTAATTCTATAATATTTCTATTTCAGTATTATATAGATATATTTGATATATTATTAAAGTATCTTTTTTTTATCACACAATTTATTTGTTTTACCTTACATATTCTTAAATTTATGAAAAATTGTTGGTCAAAATTTTATATATATATATCAAAATTATCTTGTTGAGTTTTTCAGAATTATCTTAATTAAGCTTTATACATCACGATTATCCTGACATAATTTATCTAGTCTAGAAAATGTTATAGTGTGTAATGTATATGCAAATGTAATGCATAAAATGTAAATAAGCTTAATTAAGATAATTCTGGAAACAACAGCGAGGAAACTGAACGATCATGTTTACATATTTATACTTTTCTACATGTTGGAAGCATGCTTCTGCGACTGCCTGGCGGACACGTCCTTTTAGGAAGGGTCGTTATTATCACGAAGGGCGCGTTGTCCAGTGGTACGCACTCCAATTGGAAAGTGATCTCGTTTACACCTAATACCCCTTTGGGCGCGCACGGACCGCCTATAGTTCTGAGAGGGTAACACGTGCCGTTGTAGGGCACCACGCCGTCTTTCGAGCAAGGGTTCGCCACGCAACGAGGAAGCGCCTCGTTCTTGGGGAGTACGACGTAATTCCTGGACGAACAGGGACCCTGCCTGTAGGCTTCGTAGCAGGAGTCGTTCAACGGGAAGTACAGAAACCTGGGTCTACAGTCACACACCCAGGAACTCTTCGCACCACGGCCTGGATAGAGCAGCATGTTTTTCGGGCAACTGCCTGGTATCAACACGGGTATTCGGTCCGTTATCATCTGCGAGGACGAGTATACATATAAAAAAAAGTAGCTCTTACAATCAGTATAATTCTGCATTAATATTACATTACCGTAGAGTTACCACCGCTGACATGGGACGTCTCCTCGTCGGTCGGGAATATCAGATCCTGGCCTCGTATCGTATAATTATATACGAGAAATAAAATTCCGATATATAAGCGGTTCATCTTCAAACAAGACTACTGCCGTTGAGAAGAGTAGAAGCATAGATGTGTACAAACTTGTAGTCGGGGATTGGGAAAAGCCGGTCAGGCAGTTTTGCATAAATTAATATTAATATGTTCTTAACGGCCAAACAGCAGTAAAAACTCGATTCGCTTCGGATCTTCTTCAATTTAATGACAAACTAAAAGAGAAAAACGTGAATAAAATATATGTCCATACAAAAAAGTATTTATATATTATAATTAATTGGTTACAAATTATTCAAGCAATCATTAGCATTATAATTATGCCTTAACAGTTGTATTTTCTGGCTCTAACTGAGATGCTTCTAATGTTAAAATTTAATATAAAAATATCAACAGTTGAAAAATATTTTAATGTTCATAATTTTAGAATTATTTACATTTTTTCAATAAGCTGTATTCATGTGTTTACATATTGAAAATTAACTTCTATTTTACATATTAAAAAAGATGCATAACAATAATATATTTTAGTCGTTTCTAATTAAAGCAGTTAGAAATAATTACTAAAACTTTTCTTTTCATATAATGCATTATTTATTTTAATATATTTTAAGCAATTATAAATCGCTGGTTTTATGTTTAGAATATTTTCAGACATGTAAAGTTAAGCTAAACGGAATATCTATTTGTATAAAAAAATGTCCACAGCTTACATACGTTTTCGTACATATACTACAGTACAAAATGCAAAGAATAAGTTTGAGTACTAGATGACACAGAGATTTCAATTGTTAACAAGTCTTGTTACCAATGGTATTAGCAATATAATTGTTGCACAATTCTTATATGTTAAAGGAATACTGATTTAATAAGATCTAAAATAATTTAAAATAGCATCACGCGCAACGTGAATATGTGGATATTTTTAATACATTTGATAAATATTAATAATATTCTTTTTAAAACTACTAATAATACAAACGATATTTGTATGCACGTAATTGATGTCTTCATGTTTTAATTGGAAATTAACAATCTCGAAAATTTGGCAGATTAAAAAAAATTTTAGAATGATTACTTTACCAGCTAATAATTCGAGTGTATTTTTTTTAGATTTACCGATCTTTAGAAAGATTCAATGAATCTCCCATGTCGGCCGATTGCGACGATTGTTTCTTATGCAACGCCGTCATGTCCAGCATGCTCCCGAAGTCAGATTTGACGCTCGATATTGTTAGATCCTCCGTTCCCTGATATTCCGACCTGCCGATCTTCGTCGGGTCGGCTTGCACGTCCAGTTTCTTTCGATCGTTCGTATAGTCGTCGGCGCTCACCGAGAAACTTCTGCAAGCCTCCGAGCTGACGCTCTTGAAGGGCGACGAGATCGCGTCAACGGTGACGAAATCGCTCTGCTTGCGTTCAGTACCGTCCATGTCCTTCGCCGGCGAGATCTTGCCGAGGGGACTGAACAGATTCGCGATGTTGCGCATATACGTGGATGGCGAGGGCGACGAGGTTCGCGTGAAATCGGCGATCGAGAAGCCCGAGAGCTTCGCCAGATCGGTCGTGGGGAAGTTCGCTAGCTTCGTCAGATCCGAGAACTTGGTGATCTGCTGAGTGATGTCCGCCAGCGGGAAGTCGGGATTCGTCCGGGACTTGGCGCCGCCGTCGCCGATCAGGTTCGGCAGCTTCGAGAAGTCCGCGGGCGCGAAATCGTAGTCGTACTTCGCATTCTTCACCGACACCGTGAGCTCGCCCGACTGGAAGCTCGGTATTATCTCCGACGGCGATATATGCTTGGAACCCACGAGGGAATTGCCGTCTTTTATCTGAGTGATCGACGCGGCGTCGTTCGTGCCTATGCCATCCTTCTTGATGCTGTCCCGCGAGGTCGACGGTTGCAACACGAACGGCTTGGACGTGGGCGTGATTATGGCACCGCCGTCGGGCTTGAAGTTGACCGGCGCGAGGAAAACGGCCGCGTTACCGGCCGTGAGGCTTACACTAGGCGGTACCGGCGGCCCCAACGATTCCGAGGCAGATACCAGAGGAAATTTCATGGTCAGGAAATCGGGTGTACTGCCATCCTCGGAGCCTGGACAGATCATCTCCCTAATCACGTCCCAATACGAGCTGTTCGATCTGTTTCGACCGGGCAACTTCGATGCCAGGGAACACTATTAACGATTAGTGTTAGTTAGATTAACAAGGTCTTACTTGCATTTGTGATTGATATATGTACTTACCCTTAAACGTTCAAGGTACGTTGTATTATTGTTAAAATTGGCAGTAAAATCGATGCCACCCTCGCTCTTATAATATTCTATACATCTTCTCTACAAAAGTAAATAATAAATATTGATAACAAATGTAAAAGTATACTAAATACGATAATCTTTTATAGAATAATTTTCAAATTTTTATATATAAATTTTGCTCAGTTGGGCATTGTTTTATGCGCAGCAAAAATATTGAAAATGAGCTAACTGTTAAAAAAATACTTACAATTTCCTCCAATGTGTCCTGGGACAAAAAGTGCTCCTGTGATAATGTGTAACTGAGAAGCATAGGTCGAGGATATTCATGAGGTCTGTTTTCCGGTGGTGGCAGAGACCAGAAGACATTGAAGTTCGACTCGTAACAGTTGCCGTCCATGTTGTAAGGCGCTGCAAAATAGAAAGTAATGATCACTCAGCTCCTACATATGTTGCTGGACGAAGAAAGTATTCGACACACTCACAGCATATCAATCCGACGCACGGTATGTATCCGTTATCGCTAGGACCCTTCATCTTGATCTGATAGTCCAACTGTGAGTCCACGTCTCGCAAGGAAGGCGACGCGTGGGAGCGTGGATGGGAGTGATACCAGCCTACCAGGGTAACGCGTTTCCACTCCATGGCTCGAGCGATCTCAGCCTCCACGGCCGCCGCGGCCGACTTGTCCTTACCAGAGTACCGGCACGGGAACGCGCACGTTACGGAAAGATCTACGATGAGATACGTTAATCTCAACAAATCATTCAGATGTAGAATGAAATATTTTGTACATCAAGTAATCAAGTATAAAATGTACTGTGCGAATTGATGTCCCAGTGGCCGCCCAAGTAGCCGCAGATTTCCTTGTCCGTTAGGTGACAGTGCAAGTCTACTAACAGAGCTGCGGTGGTCGTGATGGTCACTAGGAAGGGCTGTATCTTTCCCAGCGTGCTAAACGACGTGAGTTCCACCATCGTGCTCATGTCCCTGCGAAGCGAGTCATCGTAATTTTCATAAACATTCTATAAATATTTGATGTAAATGAACAACTTTATGAAGACTTACATGGCATGACTTCGTATCCCTAGATTAGCGTGTTTCACTGGAACCCGCACGATCTGGACCGGAGGATTGATTTGGATCTTCTCGCCAGCCTCCTCCGTGGTTTCGGTCAGAATCGTTTCCATGATTTCGATACACTTTTGCAGATTAAACGACGGAGATGCGACGTCGAAAGGTCTACATATATCCTCTTTTCCTTGTTTTTTTTTTACTCTCTCTGAACAAACTATAAAAATCGAACCAACGGCGCTTGCCTCATCGGCGAATTTTTATCATTATGCGTATGTTGTTTCTCAGAAACTCGTAATAGCGTTTCTTCCAATTAACGTGAATTATAAATGAAATTTCTTTGACAGATCAAAAAGACGCTTCGACAGCGTTATCACCTAACCTACCCTGACTTGTCGGAGCATTGTGTTGACAAGAAGTATGTTCTTTACTGCTTAATTACTTTGTACTACTTAAAATAGAAATAGATACAGACGAATGCATTGAATATACATATTTTGAATAATTTAACATATTTATTCGTTTTAATTAGCTTTTTAACCTAATATTTGAATATTTTATAAATTCATTTATTTTAATTATAAAAAAACACGTAAGATATGTAATTGATTGATTCAGTTACGGCAATCTCTTGATTTCTTTTAGAGAACAAGAAGGAAATTTCGTAAAGAAAATAAAAGACTCTGAGAAAAACTCTAATTTTCGTTACCACGCAACCGGAGCACTTCGTACTTGGTTTTGGATTTTGTCCAATGTGAGACACCACACGCTACAAAGTACAGTGCCGTGCACTACAGCGCCGTTTGAGTGTAGGCGAGTGTGGAATACACGTCACCTCAGCCAATCAGGAAAGCTTCCTCGATTACCCAGCGCTGTCATTGGCTTAGGCCCGGTTCATTACAAATTAACCTTAACCTCGGTTTAACTTACTGTTTATCTCTAAATTCTTAGGTTAGAAAAAGATAGGGCGAGTTAAACTTTTCGGTTGAATCGAGTTAAAAGTGCCGTGAATTGTGAAACCAGGTCTTAGTATATAAATTTACTCGATTGGCTGAGAAATTGCTGCTGCTCCTACACTAGCTGCACCTAAAAAGGACATCTGTGCACGGCGTATGTAACATACGTTAGGAGCAGCCATAAGCCGGGTCCGGTCGACCATCGCGATCGCGCCAGCGCGAGGGTGGTTACGTTACACGGCGTCGGTGTCTATATTCCCTGCGATTGTGCGTTTGCCTGGGATCGTTCGGAGCGAAGCAAACCCAAGGAGCTCAGGTTCTACTTGAAAAAGGAGACGAAAATGGCTATGGCGACGAGCCAGGTTAAGGGTAGTGGCTGGCCACGGAGAGCGAGCAACAGTTCGTTCGAGGGGAAGGTGGTGCAGAATCAGTCGGTCACCATCAACAGAACCGTCAATTTGTAAGTGGCGTGACATGATCCTACGCGCGTTCCTACCTATACAATTAATTGTGTTCTGACCGCCTCTCTTCTGTAGAAAACAACCACGACCGGTCGGTCTCTCGGCAGACGCGCTAAGCAATCGAACTCTATCACGTCCTTCTAAAACAGAAAAAGAGGAACCACCCCCCCCCCCTCGTCCCCGTTTTCACTCTTATCGCGGTGAACGATCGGGCCCGTTTGTCCCTCTTTCCCTCTTGAGACCCCCGGAATTTTAAGCAACTTGTATCCGCCAATTTTTTCACACGCCAAGTGTTTTGATCCTTCATCTGGCTGCGGCAGATTGTACAATTCGTGACGATACCGTTTGCTTAAAATTCTCAAAAATTTAGACAGCGTCGCGCACGAGCTATATCGCGCGAGATTTTGCCGGCATTCAATTTTGCGCGCAGCATCGAGCATCGTTTCCTTTCCACAGTATCATAAACTTAAGTCTCGATCGCTTCCCAATCGTTGTCCCCATGCATTTGCAATGCGAGGGATCGGTTTTGTCGATTCTTGATACATAAGTGCTAAGAGACTCCCCGCTGTGCCCCTCCCCTCTCACCCTTTTCTTTTCGTTTTAATTGTTAAAAGTGCAGTTTGTATCTCTTAAGATTTTCGCACATCGCAGATCGAACGATCCCGAACAAGGCTGTATTATTTTCTAAGTTTGTATGATCGCCAAGAAAGCCCTGTATATGTTTTTACTCGTGATCTCACTCTTCCATTTCATGTAAGATATGCTACATCTATGTATTATATCTATGTATACGTACGTATTGCATTGTACGAGGTAGTTCACAATTTATATATTTATATATATATACACACTTAATTATATTACATTTTAAGATAGTACCTAATATTAATATTGCGATTATTCTGACTGAGTTTGTTATAAGAAGGCAAGACAAATCTTCTTAAAACAAACGCAATTATACACGAGACCTGTATGTAACGTTATAAGATCACATTAGATGATTATTTGTGCTTGTGATTATATGCGTGCATCTATAACGTTACATTTGCAGCATTTTGTGTTGCAAAACAAAATGTTGCAATTATATACAGAGTATACATCAATGTATATCTCGGCACCATGCAGATTTTTGCACGTATTTTATCAAATATTAATTAGCTAATCTTTTTACTGTATTAATTGAAAGTTCTCAATATTATCTTAATTCCTTGAACGGGATGTTCACGTATTATTATAATATTTTTACATTATATAACTGATACATCAAGTATCAGTCATATTTATTGATAAAATTTATTTGAAGAGACAAATGTAAATAATTTTATATAAAACAGTCAATATATATAATACTTAGCATGGCAATTGATAGCAGAAATCTAAGACTATAATAAAATATTTGTATTATTTGTGAAGTACTTGCTTAAAGTACTTGTGCAGATCCGATTGTAATATCAGCAACAAAATTATGTTTGCCTGTTATTTATATTTAATTTGATTATACCAAGGTGTTTAATGTGAATGTAGAACTTTAATTATCGGTGTGTTGAGACATCAGTGTTTTATACATGCGTATGTAAAAACTGATAAAGCGATATTTTTATTGCAAACACTATATCATTATATATATGGAATGTAATATTGGATGTACATTACATTGCAGTATCAGTATTTGCTTCTATGTTTATAATTATATTAATTATAATTTATAATTAAATTGCATAAGACTGACAATACAGATCAGAAATCACTATTGAACATGTGAGAAAAATTATAGAGTGAAAATTGAACTTTTTGTTGAAATTCTCTATATAAAAAAAATATAGTCTTTTTTATTACAAAATTTTATGTATTTTACGCAATGTATACGCGCATTAACCAAGAGATATTTGATCATAATAAAGGCTCTTTGATAATGAAATAACTCTTTATAATTTAAATATTTATACATCTGTTGTTTAAATTACAAAAAAAAAAAGATATAAGTACTGTTGAAATATGAAAATAGCGTGAAAATTTAAATTTTGTTAAACTATGCATACTTTATATAGTTTCTGTGATTGAATATTGTAATATCGCATCAAGCTGTATTTGAAGAAAACTGGATTTAATTACTGATGGATTAAGTTAAACATATACAGGAGCCTAACAAAAGAATACAACTCATTTATCATAGATATCCTTTGACAAACTATACATTTGGAACAAAAGAGCCACTCTTCGAGAAAGATCCGTCAGTACCAGCAAGGTTTCAGCGAATGAGAGATGAATTCGACAAGATCGGCATGCGGAGAAGCGTAGAAGGCGTCTTACTGGTACACGAGCATGGACTACCGCACGTTCTTCTTCTGCAACTCGGCACAACATTCTTCAAATTGTAAGTGTTTCGAAAAGACTTTGAAAAATTGCGTATTGTGAAATTTTATGCGTTTTAACGACTGAATACATTCCCCCCCCCCCCTCTTTTTTCTGTTCCAGACCTGGTGGAGAACTCAATACAGGAGAAGATGAGGTAGAGGGCCTAAAACGGCTCCTTACAGAGGTAACAGTTAATACGACGCCTTACGCTGCCTTACAGGCTGGCTAGGAGTGGCACTTTTATATCGTTAGATTGTAAAAATTGTCTTTATAAACATCATCATTATTATTGTATAAACCCCCTGCAAACGTTTGTAGAACTTATGTAACCGGGCCTGTAGCTCCACATAGGGGCTTGTTCTTTTATTCTTATAATATTTTATACGTTTTGGCGTGCTGCATGCCCGGACACTTCGATGTCGAAAAATACCGCACGTTATTGTATTCCGGTTGGCTAAGAACATTGTTCTTATTTCGATGATGTATTTTACCGCACTGAGAGAAACACAAGAGAGAAGAGACAAGATAAAGATGCAAGAATGTAAAAACGTGACAAGAAGACTGTATATATAAATGTCGCGAATTTTTTTTAAATTTATGAGCTCGGAGAACCGATTATCTCGAATTAGGGTTTAGAATTTTATTGTAAGGGAAAAATATCTGCTCGGCAAGATATGTAGGCCTACGCAATTCATTCGCAAGATTGTCAGATCGCAAGACAATTAATAAACTTGAGATTTTGTAATCTCTATTATACTCTTGACTAAAAACTTAGCACATGTAGTCGATTTTTATTTAATTAGGTATTCATATGAAATCGCTAAAAGGATATAGATGGAAGGAAATGTACATGTGTTTTTGATAAATATCCAAATAATCAGTTTTCCAAAGAGACTTATATTGACTACGTGTCGATCGTCGATAAACTTGAATATTGTTAGAATTGATGCTATCAGGTGCGATCGTCGCAAATGTCTCGAAATATAATAAATGTTGTGCAACCATGTTCTTAGTAGACTGACAGAAAGAAGAATGTATTTTTTATTCTCATAGTTTACTTTGAAATTGAAATATGGTACAATGTTAGACAGCAAAACGGGATTGCTTTCTAGACCTTCGGACGGCAGGACGGGGTGAAGCAAGAGTGGGTTATAGAGGACACAATTGGAAATTGGTGGCGTCCGAACTTTGAGCCACCTCAGTATCCGTACGTGCCGCCACACATCACAAAGCCGAAGGAACACAAGAGACTGTTTCTCGTGCAGCTACAAGAAAAAGGTATAACGACAAAATCGGAAAGATTTTCGCGTGTATATTATAATTAATTAATAACTTAATTAATTCTCATTATTCGTATTTGTTATTTTTTGTTTAGCTCTCTTTGCTGTTCCGAAAAATTACAAGTTAGTCGCCGCGCCATTATTCGAATTATACGATAACTCACAAGGCTATGGCCCCATAATCTCATCTCTACCACAATCTCTGTGCAGGTATGTTCTTTAAAAAGATTTTTTTTTTTAAAGCAGATTTCGCGTAGAGAAGTGAAATGTGACGTATTACAAAATGTTTGTGTTTTTGTTTGTGTTTCAGGTTTAATTTCATTTACATGTGAAGCTAGAATTAGAAGAACAAGCTCGAAATAATTCTGTATTCTTAATTTAATAAAATCTATTAGAGATTTAATAGACTCGTATGTACATGAAACGATGGCTGATACTTGAGGATAATTTCTGATCTATGTATATGCTGCATTGCGAATTAAACCATTTTTTTAAGTAGTATTTATGTAATTTACCTCATAAATCTCATAATTTCATTCCATCAACTTTTATATTTAGATGTAAGTTTCTATATTTTGTTTTTGTATCTGTGTAATGCGGTGACAGATACAATCCATTTGACTAATTTTGAAATGTACATATAGATTTTTATTAGCTTTATTCCCCAATATATGTAACTGAACTGTATATTAATTACTTGAAGAAAATTTACTTATTTTCGAAAATAATTGCGAATATGCTATAAATTTTACTATAACCAAAATACGCATGTATATTTTTCTGCGAAATCTAAAAATACTTTTATAATAAAATTATAATAGAAGAACATAGAGATGTGATTACAGTATATCGGCAAATTTATAATTTGATAATTTTTATTCTTGTTATAACAAAATAATAGATTTTCTAATAAAACAATTCACTTGTTTGGTGATTCAAATTCTGTTCTTCTGTATTATATTTTTCTCTCTCTTTCGCGATAATATATATATACCATGTAGCAATGTGTGACATCTTGATATCTTATCAACAATTATGTAATTGATAATTAAATTTTTGCGTTATATAACGTTTGAAAGAGCTGTTTATCCTGGAACATGTGATAAACTTTATTCCATTTCGTCTCGCTTTCTTACATATAATTCAGTACAAAAATATATTAAATTATTAGCTGAAGAGGAACAGGATGTAATTTAATTTCTGGAATTAAGTATATGAAAACTTTCGACTTTTCCATTCGACAGGCGATATTTTTGTGCGTCCTGCGCAATCCTCTAATAGTATATGGTTCTCGTTTTGTGGAACGGTATGTGCTCCAGTTCTTCCGCGTACTGTCGCCGATAGTCCCACAGATAGTGATCGATGACGATCGCGTTGACATCCGTCGGATTCAAGTCCAATTTCGAATCGGCTGCGATCAATCTTCGCACCTCGTCGCACACCCGCTCGACCACCTCGATCGAGCAGGCGCGTATCTCGACCTCCTCCTTGCTGCCCTGCTTCAACGGCTCGTCGGACCTCAGCTTGCTCATGAGCGAGTTGCTGTAGCGCATAGCGCCGTAATGCACGAGCACCTGGGGGATACGGTAGTCGGCGAACATCGCGATGCTGTCGATGTCGCGAAACTCGCCGAGCCCGCGTCCCTCGTAGCAGGCCCAGATGTCGCCGACGAGTATCTGCGCCCTCTTGTAGATGCTGATCCTGTGGCCCTCGTAGTCGGCCTCGTCCCGGTACGACTCAAACTCGTTGACAATCAGCTGGAGCAGCTTCTTCGCGGAGCCCTCGCACGACTTGACGCACTCCGCGAACGTGCCCTTGTACTTGTCCAGCAGAACCTTCCCGGCCTCCCGCAGACCCTTGACTCTGTTGTGTATAAGCGGAATGCCGACCTCGTCGTCGTCGCCGCGGAAAATCACCTCGGCGTCCTGCTGCGTTATCCGCGAGTAATACTTGGGATCCCACATGGGTTTCCCCTGGTCAATCGCCCGGCTAACGGCGGCGCAGAACGCGAAGTAGCCGGTCTCACCGTTGACCCGCCACTTCTTCGCGCCCGTCTCCGTCCAGAAGGAGAAGTTCAACGTGTCCAGCACGAATATCCAGTCCGCCGCCCTGGGATCATCGGGTTTCGGATGGTATTTGATTTGCGAGAAATTACCCTCGCGGATCTTACCGGTTTTCAGACCGTCGAGGACCGCCAGTGCCAGCTTCTTCACGCCCGCCTCCTCGATGAACACAACCTTCGCCAAGCCGGCGACCAGCTTCGCGGACTCCTTCGGCATCAGGACCATGATGTCGGGAATTTTTTTGCTGGCCAATTGACTTGTCTCGAGCTATTCTGCGAGTGACGATCGTCTTTATCTATTTGACAATTGTTGACAAAGCTTCGTTCCTCGCTCCACTAAAATGCCGGCTGACCACGACTGACACCGGCAGATTACCAGTCGACGCGAATAATGTTTCAAAGCGATTAGAACGCGATCTTTAGCTAATCGATTTCGCGCTCTTCCAGGAGTTCCAGGTGCTTCAGCAAGATATGATATTATCTAATAACATTCTGAAAATCTGATAACATTTTCCGAGTCAGAAGTAATAATTCAATAATAATATAAAGATATGATTGGCTATATATAACCAATAATGATATATCATGTACGCAGCTATCTAATCTTTGATGTGGAAATTAATTTTGCGTAACAGAAAATGCGTAACGCTTCCGATTGGTTACGCGATACGCGCGTTACATGAAAAAATCCAAAAATCTACTGTCATGGGACGGCACCCTAAGTGAGGTTCGAAGCTTTATTTATTTAGCTTCGCTAAATGGGGTTTGAGTCTCCGCTAAGTAAAGTTCGAGTCTTCGCTAAGTGGGGTTCGAGTCTCCGCTAAGTAGGGTTTGAGGCATTTATGCTCCCGTACTTGTATTCGAACCCCGTCATTTAGTCCGTCCGTGCAAACTCTTGGCGTAAAGTTTGCTACAAATTGTAGCCAAATTCCGAGCAAACTTTACGTTTATTCACCCGCTGCACTTATAGCGCGCCCGCATTCGAAGCCCACTTAGCGGAGACTCAAACCCCACTTAGCAAAGATTCGAACCGGATACTTTTAGGGATTTTTCATGTAACGCGTATCGCGTAACGCCTCTGATTGGTTACGCAATACGCGTTATGTGAAAAATCTCTGTCATGGGACGGCACAAAAACAATAACAATTAAAAATCTACAGCACACGTGACGTGAACTATAGATTTTCAATACATTTCGAAATTCGGAACGCACTCCGTATACATACGCCAATAAGAGAACTCGCTCGCTAGTTGTGTCCAGTAAGTCCTTATCTACTTTTAAGGTTACACAGCCTGCGTTAAGATATTGCGCGCGCTTTCCGGTTTATTTACCGGCCGACCGGCGTTTCACGCGGTTTCATGTCTGTTTGCTCATGTCGATGTCGCGTTCAGGTGACAAGAATTTGAGATTTTTCCACTGAATATTGCTATCTATCGTTAAAATTGTTGTCAAGCCGACTGCCTTTTTCAGGACTACGATCGTACTCGTGAAAGACATGGATTCCGACGGCTGCTCGTTGACCTGCACCGTTGCCGTGGAATGGCTGAACGCGCAGGGATCCATCCAGAGAAAGGCGACCCACCGAACGGCGTCGCTGCGTCTGACTCGGGATCAGCAGCGCGACATGCTGGTGGAGATACGCGCCGAGAAGGCGAACGTGCTGACGAAGCTGCCGCTGCGAGGTATATCGGTGTTCAACAAATTCATGACCGAGGGGAAGGCGTCCATCAAGTTCAGGGAGCAGAACTGCACGTTGTTCCTGTCGAACGCACCCTCTTCCCAGCTGATAAGTTTCCTGAAGACGATATTCGTCAAGCTGACGGGTCAGGAGGGCGGCAAGATCCCGGCGAAGGATTCCCTGCGAGAGAGGTTCCTCGCGAACGTGCAGCCGGGCGGTGCCGAGGATGTCAGTCCGGCCACCAGCACAGAGATCAACAGAGCGAAGGAGAAAGCCCTGACGGTGTCACGCGCGACGGTCACCACCCCGTCGCCGGGCGTGGTCAGGAAGCGGAAACACTTCGGTGACGACGCTCCTAGAGTACCCGCGGCGAAGAAGCTGTACGAGAATCCTACGTCGGGCGAGCTGACCGACGAGCAGACTCGAGTCCTGAACGCGGTGCTCGGCGGTAAGAACGTGTTCTTCACCGGCAGCGCGGGCACCGGCAAGTCGTTCCTGTTGAGGAAGATAATCTCGGCCCTCCCGCCGGATGTGACGATGGCCACGGCGAGCACCGGAGTGGCGGCCTGTCACATAGGCGGAATCACGTTGCATCAGTTCGCGGGCGTCGGTCTGGGCACCGGCACCAAGGAGAGATGCGTCCAGCTGGCCTCCCGTCCGTCCACAGCCGCGACGTGGCGGAAGACGAAGCACTTGGTGATAGACGAAATCTCAATGGTGGACGGCGATTTCTTCGACAAGATCGAGGAGGTGGCGAGACACGTGCGCAGGTCCGAAAGACCCTTCGGAGGGATACAATTGATCCTGTGCGGCGACTTCTTTCAGTTACCGCCCGTGTCCAAGACCAATGACAAGGCGAAGTTTTGTTTTCAGAGCGAGGCCTGGCAGAAGTGCGTTCACTTCAATTTCGAATTGCGAACCGTCCATCGGCAGAAGGACGAGGCGTTTGTGAAGGTATTGAATAGCGTTAGGATAGGTAGAGTCACGGATGATATTGTAGGCGTTTTGAAGGAAACGGCGAAGCAAAGGATTGAGAGTAACGGAGTGTTAGCTACTAGATTATGTTCGCACGTGAAGGAGGCCGATGAAATTAACGAGTTTCAATTGAATGAACTTAAAGGCGAGAGTAAAGCGTACACGGCGTTAGATTCCGATAGCTCTATGACAAACATGTTGGACCAGCAGTTGCCCATACCTGGTAAATTGATACTGAAAGTTGGCGCGCAAGTTATGCTGCTGAAAAATATAAATGTTAATAGTGGATTGGTGAACGGGGCTCGAGGTGTCGTTATAGACTTTAAAAACGATATACCGGTGATTCAGTTGCGATCGGGAACTCATTATGCCGCGAAGATGGAAAAATGGGCTATTAGAACTAGTTCCGGCGCTGTTATACACCGAAAGCAGATCCCTTTAAAATTAGCGTGGGCCTTTTCGATCCACAAGAGCCAAGGCTTGACTTTAGACTGCGTGGAAATGTGCCTGTCGAGAGTATTTGACGCCGGTCAATCTTACGTAGCGCTTTCGAGAGCTCAGAGCTTACAGAGTTTACGAGTCTTGGATTTCGACAGCCAACAGGTATGGGCTAACACAGCCGTGCTCGAATTCTATAAAAAGTTCAGGAGGAATTTACAAGAGATGGAAATGATTCCTCTGGGAAAGAAAAAAATTAAGCTGGAGGGAAATAAAAGATAATATTTATATTTTTTTATAGCCTACACATATATATCATTTGTTTGAAATAAACAGTTTGTATCTGACACATGCAATAAGTATTACACGACAATTATTAATTTCATTAAATTAAATATCTTCTTTATTTTTATGTTTATAATTAGTACGATTTTTTAAATTTTTTTTTACAAATATTACAATTTACTGGTGTAGACAGTGATTTACATTTATATTTATATCGATATTAATAATCGTCGACAGTTATTTCGATGGGCGGTATATAACGCCATGTATGCCCTGCATTTAGAAGCTCCGAATAAAGTATCGGAGAGTTTGGAGCGGATTCTTTGCTACTACATTGAATATCTATTTTGTACTGACCAGCAGTGAAAAACACTACACGGCATTCGTGATAGGCTCTGCCGTATTCCTGTAACTGTTATTTATTTCATGACAAAATAGGAAACGTAAAACGCATGCGTATACAGTTACAAATTGTATTTACGAAAGCTGCGAGTACTTACAGTAGGCAGCATAACTTTATTTGCTCCGGCTATGGATAACCTTGTTTCCAATTGATAATTATTCACTCCGTTGTGATGGTCCTGATAGAAATTAATGGACAACGTAAGATCGCTCAGAGGATGTTCCAGAGCGTTGCACACTCCCACACCAACGCTGATGCATTCACCCAAAGCGCACGACAGTTCCTCTTGTGCTTTTACAATAATATCGTTGATCGTTATGTCTGGAAAATGATTGAGTTTTTTTAGAAACTTTGAGTGTCTCAAGCTGGGTTCTACATTAGTTGCATCGCAGCGTCGCAAACGTTGCGATCCAGTTGAGATTCAATTAAGCTCGGTGCGATGCAATTAATGTAGAACCGACTTTATACGCGTGCGCGCGCCCACATACACACGTATAAACAATGTATACGCACCCCATTGCAGAGGACTCATTCTCACGAGATCCAACATATCTTGAGTTAGAGTGATACCGGAGAGAGTTGCCTTTCCCGTTGACTCGGTGCCTAACAATTGCCAGCGCAGATCGACCAACGAAGCTATGTGTTCGGCACATATTTTCTGGAGTTCACTCGTATCACCAGCGCCATTTAGCTACAAGTGCGAAACGATAGAATAATATTGCATTACAGTATGTTCGAATAGGCCACTCCGTATTATTACCAGAGATAATTTATTAAGCGGACATCGGTCGACTGGAACGGGAATTCTACACGGTTCTTTACCTTCCATGTATATACATTTGTTTTGCGTGTAGTGTAATTCCATTTCGTGATTCGTCATATTTGTCACGTCCAGCACGAGATAAAATTGCAATGGTCTGAAAATTGTTGGGGGGAAAATTTTTATCAGATCAAATATGTGTTTGATAGCATGTAAGATTAGCAAATTATATGAATAAATATTATTTTATGAAACTGCGTTTTTTTTTGCAACTTACGTTTCGGCCGGCAACACGTCCCAATTAGTAATCTGCACACTGGGTAGCATTTCAATGGTAACAAAAACAGACGAAATTCTGCAATAACCAGTTAACAAGCCTGCACCTCCTGAGTACTTAATTCTTAATTGACCTTCAATAATGTTAGACGTGTGTAAAGGTACTGCAAGTTTCGACAAGCGCGTGCTCGCTAAGGAAGAATGGCCGGAGTGCGAGCTTACTCCCGATCTGAAGGAAGAGGTCAGCTCGGATTGTCTTTTCGTATGATGAGACGGAGAACTAAGCCTAGACGGTAAAGAACTGTGGCCTGAATGCGACATTAGGCTGCTCGGTTGACTAAGGCAGGTACTGCTAGTAACATCTGAAAAAAATAAATTGTTGAGAAAGAAGGCGCTAAAATTTAAAGATTACGTTATCACAAAAATATAATTGACGATTATATTACCATTTCTAATCGAAGGTGCTACAAAATCCGTTGCTGCGTACAGATATAAGGTAAGACTCGCGCTGCTGCCAGGTTGCAAAGGCAGTTGTGTCATCAGATTCTCATCGCTCCATTTAAAAATCTTACTTTCAGTTACGGCATCCAAAGCGGACTGTACTGATAACTCGACCATTTCAATAGGCACCTGCCCAGCATTCGTTATTGTCACGGTACACCCGGCGCTGCAAATGTAAACGAAATTATTTTTTGCATGAAAATTAGTGTTAACGAAAGAATTTTGTAGTGCTCATAGTATAATACTGTACAAACCTCTCACCGCCGTAGAGCGATATACTCGCGCTGGTAACGATATTGTCGCCGGAACTCAAGCTGGCAGTTTGAGGCAAACTCGTCGCGACGTCGATTCTCGGTAAGGCTGGAATGACTTCGACGGTGTATTGAGGATGCAACATACCCTCCATGTATCTCAATCTACAGTTGGATTTAACTCCCAATGTGTGCGTGCTGAATCCGAGTATCTCTAAATCTCCAACCTCCTTGGGTCTACCCGCCAACGTGACCGCAATCGGACCAGACTCGGCAGGCAGGCTGATACTCTCCGGTATCGATTCAAATACCACGCCATTTGTCAAAAGTCTCATGTTAGACACGTGTAATTCAAACGGTAAAGGATTTAAGAGCTGCATCGACACCTCACAGATATCTCCTTCCACCCACAAATAATCTGTTGTAACAAAAAGTTTATTGTTTTATGGACGATATTAAACTAATTAAACTGGTAACAATTAACGTTTGGGTATGCACATACCGACTTTGCTCTTCGAAGTGTTTTTGCGCTCCAACGATCCGAAATTAATTGGCGTAAATAAAAATGGACCATGATCTTCCTTTACCCTTTCTATCTTTTGAGGCTGTAAGTGCGGCTGCATGTTTTTCAGAGTAAACGATTTTGTTTTTGGTATATTTAACAAATTAGCCGGTGGTATAACGGTACCAGAATCTAAAACCTGTTGCAAAAGACATTGTTTATTTTATATGAGACATATCATATAAAACATATTATTCGCATTGTTCTAATTTTTTTTAACATACAAGGGGGACTGGTGCACCCTCGCACTGTTGAGATACATTTTGCAACTGCAGCGCAATATCCTTCCGTTCGGTAAGCGTTAGATGATTGTACATTGTTTGAAGTAAAAACGTCAGATGCCTCGTAGCAAGTGCCGGATTACCCATTCGGTTTGCAGCGGCAACAAGTTCATTTATTATTTGGATCTGTATAGCCGGCCATCCTCTTTGTCCATCTGTGAGGAACAATACAATTTTAACCACCACAAAGCAATTAAAACAAAAAATAAAATTATATTAAAATTTCTTTAACACATATCGTTTAAAAAGAATTTTAATACACTTATATATTTTTTTATTTGAAACAAAAATATGATGTATATAAAAATAATACGAGAATAATATAGAGAATAATACAATTTTAACCAAAACAATTAAAACAAAAATAAAATTATATTAAAAATATTTCTTTACCACATATCATTTAAAAAAAATTTTAATACACATATATTTTTTTATTTGAAACAAAAATATTGATGTATATAAAAATATATTTAAAATATTAAATTCTATGAAATTTATATACAATGTAAATGCAGTGACCTGGTGGTATGTCAACGGGATCCAAGGATAATTTAAATCCAGATGTGGCTTGTAGCATCAAATTATAACATTGTTGCCAGTCTGGATTGGGATTATTTTGCGATACATGACGAGTGGCTGCCAATCGCAAGCAGAATGACGCCTTTCTATCAAAACCAAAGCTCGTATATAGATCTGATAATGTAGTGAATCGATCAATCTGAAATACCCGATCCATGTAACACCCTGATAAGCTTTACACGTTGAAGTTCTCTGCGTTACGTTAATACTACATACTTTTTCCTGCTCGCTGAGTGGCAAATTAATCAATACAACATTATTCAAATATGATGCGGCTTGCAAGGTGCAGTTCTGTTCTATTGAGATTCTCGTGGCTTTGAAACTTGCCTCAGTCTCAATTATACCTGCGTATTGGTATTTACTGTAATGTACTATAGCCTCACGATATTTCTTAGATATTTCCTCAGGTAGTAAAATATGCGGCATGCTGGCCTTTACCATGTCTATACTGGGCGGAGCTGGCAAAACTGTAAGAGCCTGCGATCCTCGTCTGTAAAATGATGAATGACTGATTAACTCTCATATCCTTGAAACAGGTTCTCTAATAAAAGTGCAGAAGATATTTTAATGCTTTAACTACATAAAAACTTACGAAAAGAGATGGTTTTACATTTTGTATCAAATAACTTTGCTCAAAGATCATCCATACCTCTGTTTACTTGGACTTCCTTCTTGCAAGGAAGAGTTTCTTTGCAGTGGAAGACTTCGGCACATGTTGGGATAAAGAACCAAGACAGAAGTGGCACAGAGGCCTTCGTACGCCGCTCCCAGCCACAGCCAATCATTGACGGCTTGCAGAATGTTGGCGGCGGAATTGTAATTGTTCAGGGCGTCGGCTGGAAGTCCGGCTTGAAGACACAAATCCCCCAGATGCTTCGTCATGCGACCCACGCATCTCTTCTTGTTATTTCTGGACTCGAGGTCCAGCCCGATGAAGTCTTTCTTCTCAAACGGAGCCAGCAGAAGGGAGACGCGATCTATCTTCTCCCGGGAGCGCTCCAGCCTCTTCGACTCGAGGATCCAGAACAGGAAATTGAGATACTCGGCTGTCTGCGTCTCGAGATCGGGGCACGCCTCGTCCGCGTAGAATATCGCCCGCGTTTTGAAGTTGCCAGGCGTGGTGTAGCCCGGCGGTGGTTCGTGACGGCCGTTCGATTCGACGGGCCCGAAGAGGATGGCACGCGAGTCGTACAGGGTGCTGCTGTACTTCACCTTCAACGTCTCGTGCACCCGGCACAACTCGTTCAGCTCCGTCTGATTGTCGTATCTGCCGAAGGTGATGAGGCCCAGCAGCCGCCGGTGCGTCTGAAAGTCCCCCCAGTCGTTGTTCTCCACGGGATGCTCCCGGACGAATCGGGCGAGGATCTCCCGCGTGCCGCCGCTGGAGTCGGACACGGAGAATCGGCTGCCAGCCTTGACGATCCGTTCGCATAACCTACTGACCGTCTTCGGCTTGATCTGCGTGCCGACCGGTCGCAGCAACAGCAGCAGGGCGGCGTGATCGTGGGCGGTCTGCTCATAATCGGGATGGGACATCTTGTTGTCGGGCACCGGACTCGACAGGATTACGCTGATAGCCGAGCGCATTTATGCCATCGATTTCGCTCGAGGGTATCTCGGACCTTGGCTATCTAGACGCTCCTCAGCTCGGCCAACGATCCTGTCATCTCTCCACGTTGTCGTCGAGTAGGGCGAGAACGCGCGGTGCTTCGGACTATGTAAATAAAATTTGTTCCGTTCATAACAACACCGACAAACCGTCGCATCGGCGGCCAGAGAGAAACCTGAGAACGCCAGGAACGCCTCACCTGACAGGGAAACAGCAGTGACAGTAGACATGTGTCAATAAACAGTAGACATAGAGAGACACCTGAGAGAGGACATGATGGGCATGACGACCTTTTGCCTGTAACCTAGAAAAGCCGTTGTGCACTAATGCCACCTGCAGAAGTGGTGTAAACTACATTGCAACATTCACTTTTCTACACCGCAGATACATACAATTTGTGGTGCTACATCCGTGCTACATCCACCTTATATAACTATACATATATTATATGCTATATAGTATATAACTTATATGTGTAAAATATAACTGTGTAATAATAATAATAATAATAATAATAATGTTGTCTTAAATATTTCTTGATGGAAGCCTAAAAGTAAAAATCTTTTTAAATACAATTATTTATACTATCTGGCATTTTTTTTCAATTTATTATATATATTATTATTGTATATTATATTGTATTATATTATATTGTATATTTTATTGTATATTATATTATATTATAAAATTATATTATTTAACTTAGAATTTTCTTATACAAACAAATAACAAAATATTTTCAATTTATAAGAATTCAAAATTTAATTAAAACGCGAGCTTGAAGTGAAACGTATGAAAAACGTACATGTTTATATGTACGTACAATAAAATATGCAAGAATATTTTTTTTTTTGCTTATCTTATATATTAATCATTGTACTTTGTATTCAGTTGTCTCTGTTTTTAATATATATTGTTATGCGTTAAGTTATTTTTAACCGCGTCATTTTTATATTGCAACATCTTATATATTATTTTCGCATTTATCGTAATTGTCTTTTATGTCATTCCTATACATTTTGCGCTTACGGGTAGGCACTGCTAGCAGCATTGCTGACGCATTACCTTGTGTTATTATACGTCTTATAATTGCACATTAAATAATATAATATTTTGTATGTGTGCATATGTATGAGAGAGATATGTATTTTTATAAAACGAAAATTAAATCTTATTATTTTAACTATATCAAAGATTACTTCAATTATTACTTTCCTACATTCCTAATCTTCAGTCAATCAGCGG